CGAGAATAATAATCTACTAGTATCAGTTTATATCCTCGCAGAATTTTAATCCTACAACGTTTTTCCCTCGAATAGTTACTTACAATTTCTCGCTTATACGAAAGTATGGAATAAAACCATATGACTAATTTCCCATTCATACGACATCATTTTCATACCTACGTATATTTTACTTATATGTATATTTACATGTACTCATTCATACGACATCATTTTCATACCTCAGTATATTTAAATCATATGTATATTTACTCACAAGTGCAATTTTGGTCGTATGAACTGATTCGCTCACATGTAAATTCTGCACAGTTGAGTAGATTTACACCTGGTCAGGACTAATTGCAAACTATTTTTTGCATACATGTTGTCGCTAATTATCAGTTCATGTGTGTAAATTGTATTTAGTTAATTCCATTAATCTCCATTTAAGTATTGTTTTGGTTTTTAATGTATTGTTGTCTGTATAATATCAGTCTGTTAACATGGTGGCTGAAAGCAAAACATAAAAAACTGGATTTTTTATGATCATATTTCCTGTACTTCAAGGATAGCTGAAAGTAAATTGACTTTTATAAGGGTACTGCTTTTAAGTCTTTAAAGAAAACGCTAGCAACTTCTTTCCACAAATGGGTTTAACAACTCTGAAAACAAGGAACCACACTATATCACCAGTCTCCTAATATAATTGAATTTGCAAAGACGTGTGCATCTTGCATCCTTCCTTGCAAACCTATATTATGCCTCTAAATTATGAAAATATAGCTGTGATCGCGAACACATGTGCCTTGCATGATCAATAAGTAAACCTTTTTGGTTCACCTGAGCTGAAAGCTCAAGTGAGCTTTTCTGATCACCCGGTGTCCGTCGTCCGTCTGTCCGGCCCGTCCGTCCGTCCGTCTGTAAACTTTTCACATTTTCAACTTCTTCTCAAGAACCACTGGGCCAATTTTAACCAAACTTGGTACAAAGCATCCTTGGGTGAAGGGGAATTTAAATTGTTAAAATCAAGGGCCAAGACCCCTTCCAAGGGGAGATAATCAAGAAAATACGAAAATAGGGTTGGGTCATTAAAAAATCTTCTTCTCAAGAACCACTGGGCCAGAAAAGCTGAAATTTATGTGGAAACATCCTGGGGTAGTGTAAATATTAAATTGTTAAAATCATGACCCCCGGGGGTAGGGCGGGGCCACAATAGGGAATCCAATTTTTACATAGAAATATATAGAACAAATCTTTAAAAATCTTCTTCTCAAGAACTACTGGGCCAGGAAAACTGAAACTTATATGGAAGCATCCTTGGGTAGTGTAGATATTAATTTGTAAAAATCATGACCCCCGGGGGTAGGGCGGGGCCACAATAGTGAATCCAAGTTTTACATAGAAATATATAGAATAAATCTTTAAAAATCTTCTCCTCAAGAACCACTGGGCCAGGGAAGCTGAAACTTATGTGGGAGCATCCTTGGGTAGTGTAGATATTAAATTGTTAAAATCATGACCCCCGGGGGCAGTGTGGTGCCACAATGGGAAATCCAAATTTTACATAGAAATATATAGAACAAATCTTTAAAAATCTTCTTCTCAAGAACTACTGGGCCTCAAAAGCTGAAATTTATACGGCAGCATCCTTGGGTAGTGTAGATATTAAATTGTTAAAATCATGACCCCCGGGGGCAGGGCGGGGCCACAATAGGAAATCCAAGTTTTACATAGAAATATATAGAACAAATCTTTTAAAAATCTTCATCTCAAGAACCATTAGGCCAGGAAAGCTGAAACTTATGTGGAAGCATCCTTGGGTAGTGTAGATATTAATTTGTAAAAATCATGACCCCCGGGGGTAGGGCGGGGCAACAATAGGGAATCCAAGTTTTACATAGAAATATATAGAACAAATCTTTTAAAAATCTTCTTCTCAAGAACCACTTGGCCAGGAAAGCTGAAACTTAAGTGGAAGCATTCTTGGGTAGTGTAGATATTAAATTGTTAAAATCATGACCCCCGGGGGTAGGGCGGGGCCACAATAGGGAATCCAAGTTTTACATAGAAATATATAGAACAAATCTTTTAAAAATCTTCTTCTCAAGAACCACTGGGCCAGGAAAGCTGAAACTTATGTGGAAGCATCCTTGGGTAGTGTAGATATTAAATTGTAAAAATCATGACCCCCGGGGGTAGGGCGGGGCCACAATAGGGAATCCAAGTTTTACATAGAAATATATAGAACAAATCTTTGAAAATCTTCTTCTCAAGAACCACTTGGCCAGGAAAGCTGAAACTGATGTGGGAGCATCCTTTGGTAGTGTACATATAAAATTGTTAAAATCATGACCCCCGGGGATAGGGCGGGGCCACAATAGGGAATCCAAGTTTTACATAGAGATTTATTGAACAAATCTTTTAAAATCTTCTTTTCAAGAACCACTAGGCCAGGAAAGCTGAAACTTATGTGGAAGCATCCTTGAGTAGTGTAGATATTAAATTGTTAAAATCATGACCCTCGGGCATAGGGCGGGGCCACAATGGGGAATCCAAGTTTTACATAGAAATATATATAGAACAAATCTTTTAAAAAGATCTGCATCACCCAAGTTACTCAGGTGAGCGATGTGGCCCATGGGCCTCTTGTTCATTCAAGTCGTCATCATGGGAATCACCTGGTACCATTTTAGATTGACTTTCTTTTCCCTTTTACTTGTTTTTAAACCAAGGCAAGTGACTGCACATATAAATTCATGCTACAGGAATTTCAAGAAGCATGTTGGGAATTAAGCATTTTTAAGTATTTTTCATCCTTGGTACCTGATCCCACCATGCATTTCTAGGGATTCTTGTTTATTATTATTATTGACACGACAGTTGACGAAACAAGAATATCAGCAGCCTCGTTTAAAATCATCACTTCGTAAGTTCTATGGTCGATACAGTGACCTTGTCAGCAAATACGATTTATCATTGATTTAAATACTGACTGACGTTTTTAATACTTATTGTTAGTCCATTTTTTATACACTGAATTTACGTCGGATTTTTTCTGTTATTTCCTGATTATGACAAGGAGCACACGACCGGTGTGACCGGACGGCATGGAATGATCACTCCTCCCTGGCACCTAATCCAACCTTTGATGCTTTGGGGTTCCTTGTTGGCTTTTCTGTTGTTTTGTATTGTTTAATGGATTTTGAATACTATTCGTTATCTCCATATCTTCCTTACTGTACAGTCGTCCGCGTAGAGCAGTGGTTAGAGCGCCTGCTCTCGAGTCGTGAAGTAAATCCTGTCTCACGAGTGAAATAAATTCCATATTCATAGTTCTACAAAACATTGAATTTTCTGTTTATTACATTAAAAACAAATCTTTGAATTTTCCTTTGCCTCTGTCTTTTTGTTATACTGTCATAGGCTACATGACGTCATAGTTGAGCGGTTGAGACGTCATAGCTTTGTGATGTGGAAACAATGTAAACATGGATTTGGCAACATATTTTGGTAATTCTGACAGTTTTATTCGCTGTCAGAATGATTGATTTCCTTCTATCTACCTTATATTAGGTCAAGGAAGATTTTTTTTTTTACAATCTTTGTTATGGGAAGGGAAATCAAGAGTTTTCCCGCACTTCTGATATTCGTCACAGTGTGACAGGATATCATTTTGATATCATTTCACACTGTGACAGGGTATCATTTTTATTCAATGAATACATTACAGTATTTCTCGGGTAAAAATGTAATAAATATAACTCATTACGAAATACAAACATTATATTGCAATTGATCATGCAAGAATTAATAAAACAAGAATATATAATGTATAAAACTTGGTTAGAACATGATATTTAGCTCTAACAGAAGATACATTTCATTGAGTAGTACTAGTCTAGCGGTTCACTTTTACAAGATAAATCATTAAAAGAAAAGTCGACCTTGATAGAAGAAAATATATTTTTCACAGGAAAAAGTGGCCTACATGATGTTCATGCCATAACCTTTTTATTTAAATCATTTGGACATAACGAACTTACAGTATTCAAAATCAAAGGTCTATAGAACAATAAAAAATAGGAACAGAGCAAATAAGGACCTCCAAAATATCAGAGGTGAGATCAGATACCATGGAGGAGTGAGTACCCCCGGTCAGAAGGGGATGCTCACTCCTCCATGACACCTGTCTTTGCATAAAATTAAAAACTGATTTCTTATGACATTGAATATATCGTTTATCTTCCTCCTATGATCCGTCTTCAATGGTTAGTCTTTTGGTCATTTTTTTTTATTACATAAGTATGTTCCAAGATAATTCTTTGACAATTATCTTCTCCTAATATCCATTACATCTTCCATGGGACCATGTTTTACAAACTTAAACATCATACATACTATGTTATAAAAGCTAACATACCAATTTCAACATTTTGTAGTCCAGCCGTAATTAACATGGGAGTTAAAGAAAATAAATTTCATTTTATTTTCCATTCTTAGATATGGTCCCATTTCATTGAAATCTACTTAAGGATGCTTTGTTTCAACAGTATTAAAATATGGTCTGATTGTTATGAAAAAGTCAAAATTTTGAAATGCTTACATGACAAACAGTAAAAAAAAAATAGGAAGAAAGAAATTAGTAAGAATGTCTCATAATAGAATCTTTTAAATTACATTGAGGGACAATAAAAGTACTAGTCCAATAGCTGAAATGAGCTGTCAGTACAAGTTTTTTTTTTAATTTATAATCCATAAAACAATTTAAAATTAAGTGAAGATATCTAAATAATTATTTTGAATCTCAAGGTATGATTTCTCATTGCAAGTTCCAATATCTAGTGAATTCAGCTGTATCAATGATATGCTGATCTGAAATCGTATGCAAGGGGCACACCATTTTACAGTCTTTCTTCGGAATGTATTTTTTTTCTGGTAATTTCCAGAAACTCAAATGTCCTTTGATATCGAAAGCAATTATTCCTTTTTTGTCTATTCGACATCTGAAACCTCTTACATACTGTATTTTTCTATGAAATGTTCCTGCTAAATCATCTAACATATCTTCTATTCTTCCTTGAATCTTGCACGTTTCTACCCTATCCAAAGCAGATCCTGGTATCAGGCAGAATACTTGTAGTTGTATAGACTCTTCTGTGACGGACAAAAGGAAGGTTGTTTCCAGACATGAAAACAAAGCGGCGTTCTTGTAGAGGCAAGATGTTCCATGATTTTGTTGTACATACCAACCATCTTCTTGCATACAAGCAACAACAAGACGGTAAAACAAGAAAAATGGCAGAAATTCAAATTGATAAACAAGAACAGATGATTTGCTCTTAGATTTCTCGATGATATCTAGAAGTTTTGCCTCTATTTCTTTACGATTCATGCACGGAACATAGTGAGATTCTGTACCAAGGCCCAACAAACCGAGTCTTTGCATAAAGTTAAGAAGTGTACCTTTATGACACTTTAGATATCGTTTATCTTTCTCATAAGATCCGTCTTCAATTTGGTAATTTTCATCTTCTTCCTTAAGCTTTTTAAACAACTCTTCATCCTTAAGATTTTTAAACAACTCTTCATCATTATGTTTCCAGATCTCTGTCAAAAGCTTGTCTTGCAAATTTCCTGTTTTGTAATATTCATCCCAGTCCCCCGGGGCTACAGGGATACCTTTGGAATGAAGCTTGTCTGTGATGATATGTTTGAATGCATCAATAAACCATTGGACGTCAATAATTACCTCTTCCTTCAGACCATTCTCATTAAAATATAAAGCTTTTCCGGCATCATGATAATAACGCAGCATATCTTGAGCTCCCTTTTCAGCGTTACCAGAACCTTTCTGTCCTTTAGCAGTAATCTCCGGTACTTTCGTTGTTATTTTTGAAATCTTCAAGATCCGCTCCGAGTGTTTTTTCTGATTTATTTCTAATCCAAAGAAAGACCATTCTCTTGGAATATTCTCGTTCCATCGTTGATTGGAAGCTATGTTGAAAAGGCAAGTTTCTAAATCATGGAGAGGTAAAGTTACGTCAGTACAATAAACGTTTTCGTCTGTGATGTAATGTGGTAAATATGATTTCTCTGGAAACTGATGGCACAAGCTCTCAATCAGTTCCTTTTTATCCTACATTGATAAAAAATATTAAAGTAAATTAAAATTGGTAATAAAATATTGAATGTTTTCCCGTTCTGTATAAAAAGAACATCATCTTACACTGCGATATTCTTTTTATTTATGTTCCTTCTAAATCATCATTTCCCAACTATTCAGAAAGGATCCTGGAGTGATACATTATTGAAACCTTTGACAAAAGATATAAATTGGAGAGGGATCTATATGTACAAGTAATTTTATGATAGTGATTGAATTATTGACTTTCTAATACTTGTTATAATCAATGCAAATAATCCAAACACATGTACATATATTATTGATTTAAACTGTATAATGATAAAATGTATTTTATTCAATAAAGATCATAACTGTTCACTAAAAAATAATAATGCAATGTGTTAACGATTTAAGTTCTTTAAGAATTTACAAAAAATATAAAAGTGTGTATATGAAAAGTTCATTTGAAAAAATAACTCACCCTAAACTTTCTGATTCCTTCTTCCCAATGTGTTGCAACAATAAGAACTACAGGTTTTGTATCTTTTTGGTTGTCAGAACCACAGTAAGTATGTATAGACTTTATCCAGAACACAAAGTAGTCTGCAATAAAGAGAATAGAATGTTATTGCTTAAATTTGTATTTTATATTTGTATGAAATACTTTTTTAAATAACAAGAGGACCATGGGCCTTATAGGTCACCTAAGCATCATGCAACAACTTCCCAACAATTGAATGTTTTAAACTAGACATCATGGCATTCACAATTTTGAAAGAGGTACCATTGATAATCATAATTATACACTTAGCATGTTTAGTTTGATTACTTAATACCTATAGACAGAGTAGGGGATGAAAAAATGTATTTCGATTAATCAGTAATATTCAGCAATGATCGGTAATGCCACTACCACACATGAACCCCTGACCCTTGGAATTCACAACTCAACTCAAGAAGAATGACCCTTGCTCATCATAGAGATATATGTAGTTCAACTGCTTACTAAACAGAGCAGAGAAGAAACTTTTCAAAGATTTAATTTAATTTCACTATATAACCAAGAGAGCCCGGCCCTAACAAAAGAACCCTTAACCCTAGGGCCATGAAATTCACAATTTTGGAAGAAGCATTCTTTCTCATCATAACTATATGCTAAGTTAATTTATTTAATACCCAGGAGCAGAGAGAAAAATTTTCAAAGAATTAATGTATTTTCACTATATAATCAATAGATTCCTACCCTAACACCAGAACCCCTGACCCCCCTGGGGCCATAAATTTCATAATTTTGGAAGAAGCATTTTTCCTCATCATAACTATATACTTTGTTAGTTTGTTTAATAGCCAGGAGCAGAGAAGAAGATTTTCAAAGAAGAAATATATTTTCACTATATAACTAATTAAGTCCCGCCCTAAAAAAAGAATCACCTGACCCTGAGGCCATAAAAATCACAATTTGGGAAGAGGCATTCTTGCTTATCATAACTATATACTTAATTAATTTGTTGAATGTCCAGGAGCAGAGAAGATTTTCAAAGTATTAATGTAATTTCACTATATAATAAATAGAGCCCTGCCTTTACACCAGAACCCCTGACCCTGGGGCCATAAAATTCACAAATTTGGAAGAGGCATTCTTGCTCATCATAACTACATTGTACATACTTAGTTAGATTATTTAATACCAAAGAGCAGAGAAGATTTCTTTTAAAGAAACAATGCATTTTCACTATATAATCAATAGAGCCCGCCCTAGCACTAGAACTCCTGACCCTAGAACCATGAATTTAACAATTGTGGTAGAGGATTAAATGGTCATTACGTTCATGTCAATAGATTGACTGCTTGATGTCCAGAAGTAAAGAAGAAGATTTTTAAAGATTGCATTAATTTGAATGTTTTGGCCCCACCCCTCAGGTTCTTGGATGGGGGGGGGGGGGGGGGAGCAGGATAATGAAAATCAAAAGTTTTGTTTCCCTTCACCTATAGATGCTTTTTGCCAAATTTGGTGGGAATTGGTTGAGTGGTTGCAGGGAAGAAGTTGAAAATGTTCAAATGTTAACACACAACGAACGAGGAAAGACGCACGTCGACGGACGAAAACGGATGGCAATAGGTCACCAAAATTTACACAGGTGACCTTAGAATCAATTTTGGTTTTCTTTTCAGTATAGTTTTAAGTCCACTTATTCTTTACGAATCTGACAGGATTATACGTATACATGTATCACACAAGAAGTGCAATCTAGCAGACAGTATATATTTCATCATGATTGTCCTTTTCTTGCACCAATATTTTTTTCATTTAAGCGAGTTTTAATTAACAGGTGAAATCCGAGTATTTTCATCACAGGTACATGTTAAATGAGTAAAATATGAATATGTATAATCTACAAGATGATTAAAAAAAAATACTGTGATATCACTAATTATCTTGGGGGTAGTAAGTTTCGTGGTTTTCAAGATATGAAGAGACCCAAGAATGAATATCCACCACAAAATTGCCCATTTTCACATACTTTGCTACAGAGCAATTTTTCAACTACGAAATCAAATCCAACTGAACCTATGTATTATCCTCAAACCACGAAAATTTGACTCTTGAATATATGGTTTTACAGTTATTAAATTAAAGAATTCTTTTAATAGAATTTGATGTAAACATTGTGATTTTCAGTTCATTTAATTATAAACAGCCGCGAAAACGCTGCTGAAAAATTGTCTACTCGGAGTTAAACAATATACTATCATCAAAACACTGTCTTCCAAAACCAAGACCATCATTATGCAAGTATACATTATGATCTGTTAAATATTTAAAATATATTTCTTGCATTAATGAGCAGTGTTTGAAATGTTTCCACATGCAAATTTATGCTCACATCAGAAAATCTAGTGGTCTCGACCCGTTAAATGGATGGGCTCACACATTTGTAAACTTTGTAAATAAAATGTACGTGTACCATACAGAATAAATAGGAAGATGGAAAATAGTGATCTTCTATTTTTTTCATGTCACTGATATTCATCCAGTATAACTTATGATCCATTCTCACGATAATGTTTAATCAAGGGCAGGTAAAAGTAAATTCTATAGATTTGGAAAATTTAAGGACAAAAATATGAAACCGACTATTGCATAAACTCAAATTTGATATTTAAATGTCAAATTGACAGACTTATGTACTAAATATATAAAAGTGAAATAAGATTAAGATCTTAAATCGATAGAAGCGATTTCAAAAGACCCAAAAGACAACGTAAAGTGCAGTCATCATTTACGAATTGATCGGTCATATAAAAACATGGTGCACTGTCCTGTGCACGTAGCCATTAGAACAAAAGATTTTTTTTTGAAAAATTATCTTTTATTATGTTTTATACTATAAGTTTTTAAAAATTAAAACATATTCAATGAGAAGGACAGAATTTTTTTATACCTCCATAGGTCCATCCAGAGAACACACTACCATCTTGATCACACACTTTCTTATCCACCTTTTGGTCAAGATGTTTAGAGGCGTCCACCACCACAACAAAGAAAGCTCTCCTGGTCAGGTAAATCTGGTGACAGGCGTAGTACGCACACTGTCCTCCAAAGTCGAACAGAGTCAGAGTCTTAGAGTAAACATTTGTAGTATTTACTTTCTCACGATTCTCCTGGCTTTTCCTTGCTAAAGAGAGTCATCGGATATCTCATATTCTATCTTTTTTAAGTATGATACATGAAAAAAGCAATAAGATGGTATTTTTTGACATGTCTTTATAAAAATTCATAGGACTAAAGACGAATTCAATTCATACGTTTTGTTTCAAATAACAAAGTGCTAAAATTACAATGCTGAAAGTAATTTATGCACATGGTTTTACAAAAACTCACCAATTCTACTGTCGACAAAACTGTCCACCTAGATTATACAGTGAAACCTGTCTAATCCGACATGCACTGGGAGACAGATTTTGTGTCGGAATAGACAGGGTGTCGGATTGCACAGTGATAAAATCAAGGAAAATAGTATAATGGGAAAGAAATTTAACGTCAGAATTCACAGTGTGTCGGATTATTCAGGTGTCGGATTAGACAGTTTTCACTGTATCTGCATTTCTGGTTGTTTAAAAATCAGTTTTACATTGCTTTGTTATGTCTTTAAAACATGTAGCATCACTTATATATTTGTTACCTTTGAATGTTGTTGATTCATCACATAATTCAAATATCTCCTCATGCACCTCCAATCCCTCAGTAGATTTTACTTCCTTAATCTCTTCTTCAGTACATCGGAGCAGACGTTTCAGTAGCGTGGTTTTCCCCGCCCCAGCACATCCTACAATCATCCCCCGGGCGTGGTGGACTGTCTGTGTTCCTCTCTTAGCGTACTCCACATACCGCTCTCTGGCCATATGGTCCCAATATAGTACTTCCATAGGGACTCCGACTAAACCATGTTAAAGAAGAAAGAATTTACACCAAGAAAACGATTCCTTTTTACTTCAGTTTCATGGGAAAAAACTGAAATTTGACAGACATGTACCTTCAAAATGAAGGTAAAACTATTCGAACCTCGTAAGAATAAAATAAGTGACTTCTTTTAATAGTCGTAATAACTACATGTTTATGGTGTTGAGATAGATTTTTTTTACATCAACATGCATTCAACTTAATTATAATATGATTTTACAAAAAAAATTGCATTCCATCCTCCTCAATCATGCTCTGGTTTTCTTTTTACGGTTTTTCTATTTTTTCAAATAATACCACTCTTATTTCATGTAAATTTGAACGTATTTTTTTCTCAACATCAATGATACGAATATAATGTCCAGAGGTTGATGTAATCTGATATGAAGATAATGAACAAAAATCCAGCTCTGATGAAACAGGGCTATCCTTCTATTATTGTTTATTACCTGTTACAAGGTATTTTTAAAGACACCATGATTTAATTAAATTTGAATCCCTTGATCTCGAAGTTTGACCTTCTATTTAAAAGCATTCACATTTTTCATAACTTTTGTATTAAAAGAGATTCAAATGAGATTAATCATTAAATATGATTTAAAATCACGCAACTTTTTGGTTCAACCTATTTTATCAAATTTTGAGCATTACTTTAAATTTGTGATAACTTTTATAAGAAAAAAAGGTTTGGCTACCATATTATACACGTTTAATACAATGTGAAAAAACTTTTCCATCATGGTTTTTTACTCTGGAACCTTGACTTTGAAGTTTGACCTACTTTTCGAAATCTTTTAACTTTCTTTATATCTTTTGGTAGAGAAGAGATACATATGAATTTTTCATATTTCACATATAAATTACCTGTGGCATGAACTTGAAGCTAAAGAACTATATGCGATATTTTGCATATCTTTGCCCCCACAAAAGTCAAGTTTGAAAAATTCTTGAAATTCGCCGAATTTTATAAATTGTATGAGAAATCTAAATTAACAGATTATATTTAGTTTCAAAGTAGTTTATTGACAATTTTTGTTTTTATGACGTCACAAACTAGTTCGATTTTATATCATTTTTCAGAAATAAGACAAAAAGGTCAAAATTTCAACAATTTTAGCTTTAAGATTTAAAGCACAATAAAGTTTGCTCAGGAACAATATTTACATATTTCATTGATATTATCACTCTTCACATAATATCAAAATCTTGAGCCTGATCCGATTTGCGAAAAAAATCGACGTAAAATATACATTTTTCTGTACAAATCATGGGAATTTTAAATTTAAGTCATTTTCCTGACGACATTTCAAACATGTGACGTCATTGCTAACGAAAATATTCAGTATTTTGAAGTCAGCATATATCCCCTTGTTTAAGAACATAATTAAATATTTCTCCGTCATTATTTATTTATTTTTGGGGGGGGGGGGCAAATATTGGTTATTGCCGCTCTATGAACTTTCAATAATCGTTTGTTTCTATTTGTCCACGACAAATTTTTAAGACGACTATTCCTCACAAAGAGTAAGACAATCTTTCATAAAATATTACACATACGGAATGTAGAGTTTAAGGTATCGCCATGAAAATAATTCTTTAGATGAATATTAATTCAAATTCATCATGTGATACTTCACTGGAAGAAAAAAACCTTTCAGTTAAAATAAAAATCGGCTTTCAGTGACTTTTCAGCGGTCATTCTGTCACTGATGGGCAGTGAACCTTTTGTCACTTTCCAGTCCCATTTCAGGTACCTTTTAGTTACCATTAGCGGACAAATTTCAGTTATTTTTCAGTAAGCATTCAGTTACCCTCCAGACACAATTCAGGAACCATACCGTCACCATTGAGCGGACACATCTAAGTTATCTTCCAGTGCCCATACCGTCGACTTTCATTGACCTTTCCATCGTCCTAAAGTCAATTTTCAGTGATATTTTCTTTATCTCCCTGTGATATTTGTTTTAATTCAGCGATTTTTTCACAGGCTTTTAATTAGTTTATAATCAGTAATTATTTCTAACAATATTTTGAATAAATCTATTCACATTTTAACTGAGTAATTAATTTGTATCGTGATAAAATTCAAGTACAAAGAACTCATAATCTCGCTTGGATGTTCATTTGTCTTCGAATTGTTGAAGAAACAAAGATTCTTCAAAGTATAAAAAAAAATTATCTGATACTTGGATGATCAAAATTTTTATAAACTGTCGTTTAAGTTTGCCTTATTTAAAAAAAAATCTATATCGTTGATTATTTTTTTTTACAAGCTTATTCTATTTAAAGGGTTATTCAATGAATAAAGATTCAGTCAATTAAAAGAAATCTTGGATATAAGATAGAATGCATTTAAAATAAACAATTAATGTTTATATCAATACAGTTTTCATGATTCTTTTGTAAATCTAAGATATTGCAATGAATTTAATTTTCACGGCGATATCTCGAATTGAAGTTGAGAGAAGAGACAAAATTGATATCATTATTAATTTCGTTTTTTATTGTCAAAACAGCAGGATATCTAAGCTTTACTTTTTAAAATTATTTTCAATGAAAAGAATTAATCATGTATGTATGCCTCTTGTGGGGAAAATTTAATAATGTGAATCATGTTCCCAAAATTAAAAAACACATGAAGTTTTAGTTGTTTTTTTTTTAAATGCTCATTAATATTTATTCATATTTATTCAGTAATTTTCAAGATAAAGAATGTACAAGATTCTCCGAGGAGACGTTTTATTCAAAACAAGAACAGGTGGCCGTTGTAACGTTGAATTTTGACCCGGGTTGAAAATTGACCCGGGGTCATTTTTCAACGTTGAATAGTGAGACCAAAGGTGTTGAATTTAGACCCTAGTCTGTTGAAAACCGAGCCGGGTCGTGGAATTTTGATCTTGAAACCGGTTCAAAATTCAACAGCATAAAGGCACATATTTATGACTTGGTTTTAACAACTGTGATTTAATCCATAGGCGTCGGAAACGGGGGAGGGGAGCTATGGATGCTTACCTTTTTTTTGCAAAGATAGACATAAAATAGGCATTGAACAATGTGAAATTGGTTTCGTCCCCCCCCCTAATTTCAACAGGCACCTTACAGTGTAGTCAAAGAAAGAAGAGTAAGTGATAGTGCTTTAAAAAAAAAGAATTTGGATCCTACATCCCCCCTCATAATACGATTTTTTCGGGTTTGGACTACTAGTTTCTTTTTTTTTGTTTTTTTTGTCCCTCGTCCATTTTTTTCAGATTTATATTTTTCTTTCTTTTTCAATTACCCCCCCCCCCCCCGGCGCAATTTCAATTTTGAACACCAATGTAATCAATGCACACTTAATTAAGTAATTCAGTTATATTCTTAAAATAAAATATTTTATAAAATATCTTAGATTTCAAAGTTACATGTAGCCTAAAATCTCAATATTTCGTGTAATATTTTTTTCAAAAAGAAGTGCATTTGTATATGTAAATCCTAAATATTAGTAAACATAGTTACACAATATACAATTTAGTCCATAAATTTTTTTATTTTTATTTTTTGGCTGACGACACTTCATTTATTTCAATTTCAAAATTCCTAATATTAGTAGTTAGTAAATGATGTGAGTTTAACGCATGACGAATGTACGTTTTCATGCTTATTTAGTTATGCACAACATTAATAACTTATCATGTCTAACTTGAAAACGGATTTTTTTAAAAATTAAATATTTATTCATCTTCTTGCATAATTAATCAGAGAGTTCAAGAACGAATCTCACAATTTTAAAATACATATTTATTTTGTTAAGTAGAGGATGTCAAAGGGGGGTGATCTGCCCTTTTTGGGATTAGTACCATATATACTTGAAGAAAGTTTTTTTTTTCTTTGGAACTGGGTTGTTTTCTTCATTTTTGTAGTTTTTTTATCAAAAAATTTCTGCATAAGATACACAACCCTAACTTTCAGCGTTATTTATTTTTTGTTATAAAGTAGCCAAAATATAACATTGAACCCCCCCCCCCCCTACACACACACACACAAAACGGGGAAACACGGGGTAGTTTGTGAGGAATTTTTGAAGCAGCCCTTTCATCCAATTGGAGAAACATGGTTTGGTTTCCAACATTGGCTAGTTTCCCTTTCCATTTTTCCTTGCATGCTTGTTTATTGCCTTTTGTTTATTTATTTTGTTTAATTTTTTTGTCTCAGTATATCAGAGGGTTTTGACACCGAATCCCCGCCTCCGAGAAAAGCGTTAGGATCTCTCTCTCTCTCTCTCTCTCTCTCTCTCTCTCTCTCTCTCTCTCTCTTAGTTGTTGTGGTCAAAATAAGTTGCAGGGACGGCGTTTTTTCAATTGTTGATATAAAAGATGGTGGGAAGTGAAGCTTTGAGTCCATCCCAGACTCTAACTCTAGTTCTCATTCTCAAGGTTAAGCTCCGAAAACGATCGATTTTTAGGCCGAGGCAGGCTACTGACAGATAAGTTCACCAAACTTGTTTAAAGTCAGCATTACTTACATGTTATGGTCGCTATATTGATCTTTTCACAAATATAACCTATCATTGGATTTATTTTGACCAATGTGTTTCATTCTAATTTTTATCCTTTTAATTTTGCTAATGTTTATACTGAATTTGACTAGATGGGATGTTCTGCCCACCTGATCAACATAATATTGTTTTGGGCTCACTTTCTAGACACCAGATTTCCAGGTTTTTGTTTTATGCCCTATTCATAGTTTTGTGATTTATGGATGTGAATTTTAGAAAGTATTGTCAAAAATAAATTCATGCTTGAAAATAACTGAAATTGTGTTCTGATCAAAGTGTACATATATACTGTAAACCAATTATTATACGCGTCATTTTTTATTCGCGACTGACCGCTAGAGAACTAATCCGCGACGATTTATTTCTGCGAATGAGTGGTTACATTTATTTCTATTTCCACGAGTATTTTTGAATCAAATTAAAATTTTATATCCGCCCATAAACAAGGTAAAATGGTAGCGTGAGGTCTGCTTACGCAATATTCAAAACATTCTGTGCATTGCGTCCATTTAAAATCTTATATCCGCCCCTTAAGTGGGTAGAATGTTTACCATGAGTATACCTCATACGCATTTTCACAACGCTCAAACGAAAATCGGGATTAAAATTGAATTAAAACTCTTAATTGTAAAAGTGCCTCATACTAATTTGGTAATCAACGCTTTCTAAGATCTACATAGCCAAGGGGAAATTATTATAAATGGTCGGGATAAAGCAGGACTGGGCCATAATTAGCCGTAATTAACCAGGCTATCACACGTCTGTAACAATAAATGAACAATAATAACACAAGCTGAAATGATTATTGACATTTTAATCATTTTTAGACAAATAGTTTTAGAATTGCCATTCGTTTTTATTTTTTCTGAATGTTTGTAATTAAATTTCAACTGCTTCTTGTGTACATTAAGTATATGTTGGTAAACTTTTCCCGAGTACCATGAGATTTGGTGCCGAGCGAAGCGAGGGACCAAATCGAATGGCGAGGGAAAAGTTTAACAACATACTTAGTACATGCTTCACACGAGAAATTAAACTTTTGTGTCTCTGTCTATTTAATTAAACATCTTTGTGTGTTTCTTATTATTTAATCAAGATAAGGCTAGTTTGACCCTGACTGTTGCCATTTTGTACTGGCCCAGATGTGCTAATTATACCCTCGGGGTAAAGGGAACGGTCTACAGTGAGTAGTTTTCAAACACGATACAGGTTCATTTCTATAGATTCAAAAATCTCTGTATGAAGATAGTCATGTCATTTGATGGATTAAAGCTAGGAGCATTTTATTTTTGTGGAGATTATTAAATATTTGTTTTAGTGGTAAAATTGATAAATTTTTCCTGAAAGCAAAGACTTCCACAGAAATTGAAAAGCAGGAAAAAAGAAAGGTTTACGGTTGGATATACATGTGCACTACTTGAGCAATATAGGACGGTTCCAACCAATTTGAACTTCTTAAAACAATCATATTTCGACTTTTGCTGTTTCCCAATCAGTCCATATCTGTTTTATTGGAATAAAAGAATAAAATAAATAGTAAGTAAAATTTTACTGCTCTCACTTCTCAATGCGATAATTCTGATTAAAGCACCAATGTAAATGGCAAATCCTACATGTTCGATCAATTAGTAGATAGTTCTTAAATTTCTCTTTTACCTTTGATTTTAATTATTTTTTTTTTTTTTGAAGTTTTAATTTTTACTAATGTTGAATAATTCAGGAAGAAAGACGGGGGAAGAGAAAGGGATCTTCCAATCTGTACTAATTTTTGAAACTATGTAGATTTTTTTGACTATGTAGCACATCAGGTTCATTATTCATTGACTGGTGATCTTGCCCTGTGTCCATGATTGTAATGACCTATCATTGGTATTAATCTGCTCAATAATTCTGCACACAATGGCAGAGTCATCCAACCATGAAGCTTGGGCTTAGGGTGTACCAAGTGATTTGGTACACGCAAAAATCCTTTGTTCGAGGTGTGAAACATGTACTAATTTACAGTAAAGTTCTTCCGTGATTACTGTTGAACCGTCGGGATCGGTATTGAAAAAAGGGCAAATAACTCTAATTCTACCACGGTTATTGAAAAACTTCAAAGGAGCCGCCGGACATTATTCTCCAATAGACCACGAACAGCCGGACATTATTCTCCATTAGACCACGACTCTATAGAGGAAACAATCGGCCGTATTTATCGTCCGTGGACATGGTAGAATAGAAATAAAGTCCTTGTTGTCGTGAATGATGCAGAATAACCTCCTCGGTCTCGAAATGTTGTTTGAAATATAAAAGCCTCGGCTAACGCCTCGGCTTTTCTATTTCAAACAACATTTCTCGACCTCGGAGGTTATTCTCCAACATTCACGAAAACGCGGACTTTATTTCTTAAATAAATCATGATATGGGGAAAAAATGAACAACTGGTTCGCGACGATAAATATCCGCGAGCAGAGGATACTCGCGGAACTCGCGGATATTTATCGCACGCGTATAATACTTGGTTTACAGTACACGAGATGATAGGTTTATTTTATTATTCTTGAAAAGGGAAAAAATTGAAACCGAAATATAAAAAATATTGATACTGTCTTTCACTAATTAACAATTTTCAATTGCCAATGAGTATAAGACTAAATTGAAAATTGTTTATTAGTGAAAGACAATACTGATAAATCCCATAAAACAACTTCTCTGTTCAAAAAATGTTCAAACTCTGAGGTGGGGTCAATTTTCAACAAGGTCTATTTTCAACTTATTGTGGTCATCGAGGATAAGAAAAAAATATCAAGCTGTTGAAAAATGACCCCGGGTATAAATTCAACGACTTTTGGTCTCTATTTTCAACGGAGAAAAACACCCCTGGTTCAATATTCAACGTTGAAAAATGACCCCCGGGTCAATTTTCAACTGGGGTCAATATTCAACGTTACACCGTCACCAATAATTTTTATCATCTTGGTAACGCCATGTAAAGGGGCAAATGTGATTGATCGATTGAATGAATGCTTTACATTCAAATGATTGAGAGTTTTTCCCTTATGTATAAACGGCGTTTAACACCGGTGAAGGGCTTCAAATTTTGACCTTAACTCGGCACTTAGGGCAATTGAGCAATGAGGGTTCTTTATCGTGCCAAAGTCTGTCGTGACTTTGGATCTCGGTTTTTAAAGGCTTATCCTTTGACCCTTATCCTTTGACCCACAACTTTAAATTCAACTGCCGAGCGCATTGCGAAGGAACAGTTGCTACTTTTTTATCGACGTAGGTTACTCGCGGAGGAGATTCGAGCTCACGACCTCCCGATCATGTAGCGAGTGTCCTACCGGCTGAGGTACTCTCAACGCAGATGGGCACATGTTGGTAAAAATTAAGTATCATGTGGGGTTTCAACTTCAAAGCGGTGATTTTTCGCATTTGGAAAACAAAACTGTAAAAATTCTTTGCTATTGAATTCTACAAGGCCAACCAGCATGCGCGTGGATTGTAAGAATTATGTGCTGTTTGAAAGCACTTAAACTTGTGGATAGTTCAGTCAGGTCCAGGCAGGGCTTATAATTACTTGGGAATGGACCTGCCCCAAAAAATTTAACCTGTTCACTTATCTGGAAAATGTAGGTCAAATATAGCATCCGAAGCAATTCTTGCATATCTATCCTTAGATGCATCATCCATGGAAGTTTAGTCAAGGTAGGACTTATAGTTACTCGGGAATTGACCTGCTACAAACAATTAAACCCATTGGTTCATTATCTTTAAAACTTTAATCTATTTTGTTATCATTGTTTTGTCTCCTACAGTGATGATTTTCCTAAATTCTAATGCCTTTGTCAATCGTCCACACGCTTTTCATCAACAGAAAACGAATACAGTTTCTTCGATTTGAAGCTCGTAGGTTAATTTAAAACCTTTTAAGTTATCTCAGGAATAAAAAGAACACACTCTTAAATAATAATATTTCCAGTGGTTTAAGAGCTAGGGCTATTCTCTCTGGTAATTATCCCCTTTTAAATATATACTAAGAATAAAAATGAAATTCAATATATTTTGGGAAAAAAGGAATATTATGCTGCTTTATTATATTCAAATTTACTGAATCTTGATATCTCGAATTCTGATATATATTAATAACTAACTTTTTTAATTCTTTTCAACATCAAGCAATCCACATTATCAAAGATTCTTTTACAATTTACATTTTATCACATCTTAATGTATGATGGAATATTTCTGCCCCCAACATGCAAGATAAATTATGGTAACATGCAATAAATTATTATAATATAATATTAATATGCAAGAAAATTATGTATTCATGCAAGAAACCTATGTTGGCATGCAAGTAACAAAAGCTTTTAAGGGAATCTGATTTAAATATGGGTAAAATCCCGTGCTGACGCCAGTATCTGACACGGTAGATGCAAGATGAAAAATAATTAGGAGAAAATGCGATTTACTTATGTTAACATGTTATGTTGACATTCAAGATATTTATGTCAACATGCGAGTTAGTTATGTACACATGCAAGATATTTATATCAACATGGGAGTTAATTATGTAGACATGCAACTTATTTATGTAGACATGAAACTTATTTATGTCAGCATGCAATATACTTTTGTTAGCATGCGAGATACATATATTAACTTGCAAGATATTATGTAGACATGCAGGATTTTTATGTTCACATGCAACTTATTTATGTCATCATGCAAGATAATTATTTGCATATCAACCTACATATCTTGCATGCTGACATAAATAAGTTTCATAATTATCTTGCATGTTAACATAAATAAGTCACATGTTTACATAATTATCTTGCATACTGACATAAATAAGTCGCATGTTGACATTATTATCTTGAATATTGCATTTAAAATGTCAGATACAGGCGTTAGTAAGTAAATTTACCCATATTTAAATTACATTTTCTAATTAGATTGGTAACTTGCATGTCAATATAACTAACTTGCATGTTGACATAAATATGTTGCATATCTACATAATTATGTTGCATTTTAACATAATTTATCTTGCATGTAGGGGGCAGAAATATGCCACCATATAAATGAATAATTATTTTAAGTATATTACTGATATAATACTCACAACGTTCACTGATACGGCCATGAATCCCCCTGTCACACACGGTACAGTGTGTGATGATGTCCAACTGTAGTTTGTTTATGAAGAGGTCGTACATCTTCTCCGGTCTGTCCGGTATATACAAACATCTCTCTCCCTCACTCCTCTCATACTCCGCTGACCGGCAATATTCTGAGATCACGTCACGTGACGCCGTGGTCAGGAAAAACTCCAGATCACTGTCCTCCACCAGACACTCCGTAACAAAGGCGTACATGACGTCATGTCGGATATCGTCTGATATAAACGTTGCCTCACCATTATGTGATTTCTTGACCTCACGCTGAAGGGATGTCCAATCAACATCATCAGACGCAGACATTTTTGGAAAATATCTTTTTCGTATCTTTATCAATATTGACTTGAACGCCTCCCTATTTACAGTGGCAGTGTACTTGTCACACAACAGCAAACTGTAAAGAAGACTTTTGTCGACTTCTGAATATTCATGATATTTGCCTAAAATGAATGAAATCAAAAAGTTAAAAGGGTTACATGTATTACCAATAACAGGCTAGGTCTATATATTACTGAATAGATTTATAAAGGCATACTTTTCTATGACAATTCTACGAAGTTTTTGATTTTTAGACAAAAAAGACAACTTTTAATACAAAAAATAATAATATTTCTAGAATTGTCTTTATATTTTATTTCATACGTAAAGAAATGAAAAAAAAAAATCGTACAGTTCATGAAAGCCGTACTGTTGCATGAACTTGCTCATTTTCTTTTATCTAACTCGAGAAATTAGATACCAAAGAGTCCGACACTTCTACTTCATACTTGGATATTTTACTTGAAAAAGACACTTATGGTAATCTAACAACCAAGCTCTATGATAAACATGATGACTTTAACTTTTCAACTTCCATTACTTTTGCAGCAATATACCTTCATCACCTGCATACGGAGTATTTATATCTCAGTTCATTCCATATGCAAGAGCATGCTCTACGTATGAACAATTTCTTAAACGAGGTAAATTATTGACAAGCAAGTTGACGAAACAAGAATATCAACAGTCTCGTTTAAAGTCATCATTTCGTAAATTCTATGGTCGATACAATGACCTTGTCAGCCAATACAATTTTTCATTGAGTCAAATGCTGACTGACGTTTTTCATACCAATTGTTAGTCCATTATTTATCTACTGAATTGACGACGGATTTTTCCGTTATTTCCTAATCATGACAACGAGCAAACGGCGGGTGTGACCGGTCAGCAGGGGATGCTCACTCCTCTATGACACTGATCCCACCTCTGATGTTTTGGAGGTCCGTGTTTGCTCTGTTCTTTTTTCTTGTATATTGTTTAATTGACTTTGAGATTGAATACTGTTCGTTATCTCAATATCCTTCATATAATCAATAAAATTGTTTCTATAAATATAAAAAAGATTATTAATGACATAGGTTATTATGTTTTCAAAGCGAACGCAACATAAAACAAGTTGTTTTCAAAAATAATCAATCAAAGGTTACACGAAAAAGTATTGATAGGTATAATTGAAAACAGATTTTCATTATAACGAAGATACATACATTTCATTGGTTTATTTACATTTTACATGTTGCATAAAGTAGAACATTTCAAATAAACAAAAGTATGAAGTTTTAAAATGGATCTTTGACGTTTGGTGCTTGTGGCCTCTTCCTGCTGAAGATGCTTCATATGGGTCTGAATTGATCCAAAGTACTGCAAACATTATTTTTTTTAAAAAACGTAAAACTTTTCATGATGCAACATTCTAGAATGGCTTTTTTACATTACCGGTAATAAATCTTCAAAGTATTAAATATTTGGATAGGCACAATAAAAATTGGCATCGTTAAATTTGCAGTGGAAAATTAGAATTGATTATAATTTTTCATACAACTTGTTGATGAAGACAACTCAGATTTTGTATTTTTACACGTTTCGAATTTGTTGTACATTTTGTCTTTGTTATTACTGCTCTTTTTATGATCAGATAAATCCTTTCTTTATTTCGTGATGAGTTTTCAATTTTAAAAAGATCAGACCTTTCTCATTATTTATTTGCTGAGTCTGTGCAATAAAGATAAAGACATTTCTGTCATCGAAACGATCATCGAAGCAAATTGGTTTTAGACTTTAATTTTGAATTATACAACTCTTCCTCTTAAATAACCCTACATTGCAGGAATAAAGAATGATAATAAAATAAATGAGATGAATAAGAAATTCCTTTTTTCAAATGGCGCGTAATATGCACGCCTCTCCTAAAAAGCTATCCGTTTATTCTTGAAAATCAAATGTCCATGGTTTTTGAGGGTGCACAAGCTTAAGGTACATAATGTAGCTAAGTTTTTTTTTCTATATTATACTGTATATCGGCAAGTTCTATAGTGTACATAAATATCGGCAATATCTGTAAATATAAAACAAAGATATAAATCTATACGAGGGTTGTCCCAAAAAGTCGTAGACAATGTTTATAACTTTTTTAACGCGCAACCAATACTAACCAAATTTTGCATAGACATAATACATCCAATGTTCGTTAAAATTGCGAATTCTTAAGTATATGTCTTTCATATTAATTTTATTGGGACGATTTAAATGAAGGCCGATATGGTCTGTCGGCGCACGGCCAAAATTCGGAATAATTTACGCATATAACTATTCAATTTGTTTTTATTTCTTTGGGACTATGTAAAAGATTGAACTAAAATTTAAATCACTGAAACCGGAATCGAAGTCTTAGTAATAGGTCAAAATTTCGTATAAATAGAATTAGAAACAGACTACTAGTGTCATGATTTTCAAAGTGTTGGTCGAATTGAGATTGATGAAAATTACGTCGTCGAACGCATACCCGGCGCGCGGAAATGTAATAAATTGTTTTTAGTATGTTTTATATTCATCAGAGACGGGGAAAAAAGTACAGAAAGGACATTATACACCATTTTGTGATAGAAAAATTGTTTTTTAATATCACGAGATGAAATTAATTCCCTCTATATGGAAAAATCTGTTATTGCATGTAAAGTAAAACACTGATTGTTTTAACGCAGACATTTGGGAACGGGCCATGAACGTCGTCAAACAAGGTGTATTTTCGGCTGCTTAAAATGTAAGGTGATCTTTCAACTAATTTAATTTTGACTAAAATTTGAATCTGCATAAGAAAACGGACAGTAGTAAATTTAACTTAGCCCCTTGGTCAAGAGTGGTTTTTCATTATATCAAAATATTCATTTGGACGTTAATAGCCTCATGTGAAGAAGAAAAAGGGACCATGACGTTATGAGAGACGTAAATTGCGCTTGATTTCGTGTTTTGATGTACACTTACATGGTTTCTATATTTTTTCATAGTTTTCTTATTAAATGTGGTATCGTCATGAAACTTGAAATGCATGATCATAAAATGTTACTCTTTGCTATGACAAGAAAAGAAATTTGATTTAGCAAAGAGAAAATAAACTATGTTCCCTGTCTACGACTTTTTAGGGCAACCTTCGTATATCTGCTTCTGCAACAGCAAAGAAAACACATCAAATTTGGAATATTGAGATCATCCAACATCATTAAAAAACGAGATTACAGCCATTTTAATATTTTGTTACGCTCATCATTTTCAGAAACTGTGAGATCAGTTTCTTAAGTTTGAACATGCTACTGATTCTGCATAGTGTGCAATATAAATCCTTTTCACACTATGCAAAAATAGTTTGGTATTAATTATATAGAGACAAACTGAGAGGAAGCATAATAGTGTAAAATATTTCTTAAAACATTTTATCTTTAATTGATTCTCTGCTCAAACAATTATGAAATTTTAAATTCTGAATAATTTTGTGGTGTAAACGGCAGTTTGGTGTCAAAGAACTCGATTTATATACACTTCTTTTTAACAAACAAATGGAATGATTGCTTTACTGATAAGGTTTAAGTTGTCTTTAGTTCTCTTTGTTGAATGATAAGAGCAGGGCAAATATGAAACGGATAATGTTTGTACAGAAAAAGCAGTGGTGTATCATATATGATTGTGTTTGAAATAATTGATTGCGCCCATGACAAAAGGGTCCTTATGGCATTTTTGCTAAAACAGAGAAATAACGTCATAAAGATGTGACGTTGCAGACTGACGGTGAACTTCGACGCAGATTTTTTTAACCACGTGTTTTGACGTTTGACGCATCCAGAGTTTTTATCGCTGTTTCCAACATGTGGAATTTATTTTCATTGTTAAATTAATTGAATCAATATCTGAATCTCCTAATCCACTGATTTTAATATATATAAATAAAAACATTTAGAACTGGTTTCTAAACAAACATTATTAAATACGTCTCTATAATACGTATAGTTTTCCTACATGCGTAAATGTATAGAAGCTGTCGACAAGGTGTTTTCTGTTAAGATAATGAACCTTTATACTCTAGATTAATTTTATTTACATATTTAAACCATTTTTAGAATACATCTTAGAGAGGGTATATCGTAAAAATATTGCAAAGGAAAATTGTTTTCATACTTCTGTGAGATCCGCTCCACCACTCTCAAACATACATCGCGATCGCGTCGATCACATCTAAACATTGATTCATCGGTGCATACTGTTAAATTGTTTGTACAAATGTTGAAACTAAACATACATCTTCCACGTTTTTACGAATCTAGCAAGAATGTGTAAGAAAGATAGTCAAGATTATTTGTATTTTCTATAAATAAAAATAGGAGAGATAACTCTGATGTCAACAATCGATGCAACAGAGGTACCAGACAGGGACATTCATCTTAATTGAGTACTTTTTCACATTTCAGCTGCATGTTCGCATGAATTTGCTCCCGGATTACAAAAGGGATATTTTATGACCAAAAAAACACTTTTAATCGTCAGCATAATTATGAATTTTTAGATAAAAAAAATTTTTGTACTTTGGGAATAAGGTAAATGTAGAAAAAGGAAAAACAAAGAAAAAAAAGGAAAACTGCAAAATTGAACAAACTTTATTTTTTTTTCAAATCTCTTATCTGTAGCTTTTTTTTTGCATGAAATAATTTCTTGACGAATTTCATTTTTTAAAAAATAATAAACATGTAAAGCGTTTACCTTATAATCATGATTAAATAAATTAAACTTTAATAATGTTGTTTTATCTTACATTCTTGTTGCACAAAGACACTTCAATTTAGAGAAATTAAAACAAGCAAAAACATCTGAATGAAAAAAATGTTCTTAATGTTCTAACTTAAATAGAGCTGGTCAAGTAAATCTGATGAGAGAGAGAGAGAGATCGAGAGAGAGGATGGAGGGTAGATAAAAATATTTATATCGATTCTATATATCTTATATTGAGAAATGTGAAACTCTATTGAAAAAGATGAGTTTTCAAAACAAATGAAATAATAATTGAAAGAAAAGGTCATTTTTGTTCTCTAAACTATATATTCATGCATAGCTATTTATTTTCAAGATCTCCAAATTTAATATACATGTAACTCTTTGGTACTTACGTGTTGTTGTTTTTTTTTCATATAGAGTTCAAATGTTTAAAGCATTATCTGCAAATTAATTCCTTAAGGCATGACGAACTTTGTCTTTCATAAAAGCTCGATCAGCATTGAATGTCTCTTAACAGATCAATTATCATGCTAAAAACTCAATCATCACTGAACTTATAATCTCATTGCAGTTATCAGTCTTTAATAAAATATCGTTTAACCTGTCATCAAATTATGGATAAATATGATTAAATATGCTCAAATATGATTTTATTTGTTTTGGTTGATAAAAAAATCTTTATAAGTTCAGGGTCGGGTTTTATTTCTACATGTAAATGCTAACAGAAAATAAAATTCAATGCTGAAAAAATACATGACATAAAACCGGAACAATATGCTTGCATTTTGTTTTATTTTGGCCGCAGTGCAGGGGATGGGGGTGGGGATGTCCTTATATATTTTCGTAACATGTAGGCTTTACAAGGCTTAGCATATCCAAGCTTCTGGCACCAGGCACATAGCATCGTTTTTGAAAGTGGAGGGGGGGAGGCAGCCAGAGAATTTTTTTTACTTCCCTGAAAAAGTTGACAAGCAAAAAAAAAAGGTTAATGTTGCACAAAGTCGAAAATCCTATTTCGTGGGGAAGGGGGGGGGGGGTAGAGGCCAACTTTTTTAATGTCAACTACTTTCAGTACCAATTTTTATACAATGATTTCCGTATATCACTAAAGGGGGGGGGGGGGGGGCAACCAGACTTTAATTTATCAAAACCAATAGTATAAGTAAGGTTGGGGAAAAAGTGAAGGGCCTGCCCCCCCTGTTGTTACGTCCCTGTGCACGGGGCTAGAATGGAATTTATATTCTTTAAACCTCATTTTGTAGAATAAAATTAGAAAACAACATCAGAACGAAGGGGACTTTTTTTTAAATTAAGTCGTAAATAATATGATGATTTTCTAAGATGTTTACATCCCTACAAAATCTGACATTTCAAAGCTCAGCCAGTTCACAGACAATAGTCAGAAAATATATTATACAAAACAGTCATATTCAACTGACTATACTCGTATATTTAGGCATAAACAATTACGCATACATGGTATTAATCTTTAACCCACCCCTACCCCAACAAAAGCTATACATATAAACCGTAAATGGCATCTTTAATTTAATTCTATGGGTGTGCTTCTAAAACCATCCATTTCATTAAATAAAACCAGATTTTTAATTTTTTTAATTCTAGGGTATCATTATATACATGATTAAAAATACTGAATTCATAGCAATTCAGTTCCAGGCTCATAAAAAAAAAATAAAGATTGAAGACGTACCTGATATACTTGTTTTCCATGTCTCATAGCTTCCAATAAACCGATTTTCAGGAGCTGCAAAAAAATATATACTGGCACTCGAAAGAAACGTTACACTCTCTTTATAGGGGGAAATTATATCAGGGTTAGAACTATGTACCAAAAGAGTTAGGAAATCTTTAACTTTGCCAAAGCATTTATTTAACAGTTGAATGATTTTAATTCCATTACGGGAGTTGATTTTAGCCCTCTGATCAGAAATCTGAAATTTGCACTTTTAATAAAACTATTGACAATATTTTGGGTTTTCAACGTTTTATAGCTGTTAATCATAAGTATATTGTAGTACTAAAATCCCAGGGGGGGATCCTTCTTTCTTTTCCGGATGTGATCCCTATATCACCTCAAAATGACAGAAAGGAAGTATTTTCATTGCTAATGATGGAAATTCACACAATAAAGAATGAGAAGTGTTGCAGATGTAAATATAAACTACATAACGACTCATCAGTCTCATGTGTTTGATTTCAAAAGCATAAATGACAGTTTCTTGACCAGAAGTCCAAAAATTAATTTACTACGCCAAATTAGAGGAAATTCGACCCCAGTATCTGAAAAAAAAACAGGCAACTGAAATGCCCAAGACTATTAATTTTGCTCAGATTAAGACATCAATAAACCTTATGCATGGTAGAGATCGGGCTGCATTTGATATACAAACTGAACATGGCGGAATAGCATGTTTTAATTGAATGGTCGAAAGGGGGATGATTTAAGAGTTTTAAGGTTTAATTATGACATCAAATATGAATACATTAAGGTAAAAAGTAAATTTACATAAAAATGATGCTTTATTTAAACGTAAACTTCATTTTCAGACCTTTGAAAGTGCTTGCTTACAGTCATTAAAAGGAAATATAGGCATCACGAAGAAAAAAGGATTTTTCCCTGGTATTTTAGTACAATACAAGAACTTAATATGATTAACAGGTACAAAACCTTCAAAATCAAACATATTGTCAAATATTTTTTTAAATACTAACTTTTTGGGTACATACATTTACTTAAAACCCGTTTACAATTCCCCCCCCCCCCAAGTTTCTTTTGAGTGTCAGTATCAATCAGAGCTATATTTTGCTACTTTACACTAGAATCAATGTACAAAAAGACTTATCCTGTGACTCTCAGATCACTGCACCAGGAAAACTGGTTATAAGGAACAGTTTTTGAGCTCAAGAGTTCATACAAACAATAAAAATTAGGAGTGTAATCAGTAAAGTTATGCAAAATCTAAATAATTGCATACACTACATTGTATGTGTTAGTGCGTTAACAAACGTACCAGTTTTCATTAAAATTAACCTCTCTGACTCTTCGTTGGCACCTTCCATTTTGCTTGGATCTATAAAAAAAATTCTAACTTTTAAATTATCATATTTTTAACTGCTTTTCTGGATATATAGTTTTTATTGTTTGTGATACCTGTATTTTCAATGGGGCTGGGCATATAATTTTTTTAAATTGTGTAGAGAAACAGCAATACATGTACTTTGACTTTAAACTTATTCATTACATTTTTCTTGTAGACTTTGTATACATGTATATACAAAGCTTTAACAAGTCAACAAATAGATGACAAGATATGCCTAAATTGCTATAAATGTGTTTGAAAATGCTGATTTGTTTTACACTTTGTTAAGTCTGTTCCAAAGTATAAAAACACTCAAACAGCCAACGTATATATAACAGAGTAAAGAAAACAATATGGACTCATCTCCTAGAGGATAACTTTTATATATCTGAGGAACTGGAAATGAATTAAGAATGATTACCTTTGCCGCCTTTTTGTCTCCTTTTTGCTAACATGAATATCACTAACACGACAGCCAAAATGACACCAACAACTCCTATAGTGATTCCTGCTACAGTCCCCGTGTGTAATGTTCTATTCTCCAAGGGTTTGTCAGGGTGTTTCCTAGCAAATAGGACAATGCGTTAAAGATTCTTTTGCTAAATTACAATATTGAAACAAACTGAATTCAAAATGAGAGTAGTTTTTATTGTTTTACCCCCCCCCCCCCGAAAAAAACATATAACAAGCCCTTGAACTTTAAAAATCAAAGTTTTCCCGTACATATGAAAGTGTATTTGATTTGCAATTCTAACGTGTACATTTTATTTTTTTTTTCTTATATACAGAATTCTGTCTAATTAATGTCGCATTCTGTTGATATTGAAAATTCAGTTTAACATATTCTTTCATAAATTATTTTAAGATCTGTGGGAGGAATGTTGTAAAATGAGATTTGATGTGAGTCTGAGAAACAGTGTTCAGATTTCAGGTTATAAGTAAGTTGCATATCATAGATTAAAATATGTATCTTATATTCGAAAATGAGAAGCACAGTTTTAGACACTTATAAAATAAGAATCTGTCGTTTGAAATACATTGCTTGGGTTGCTTATGTCTTATTTCACTCGGATCGTATAAGCTGGGGTTGATTGCATTCTTTAATAATCTTTAAAATGCACAAAACTTCAGGCTAATGAGGGTCCTTCGGATGAGACCTTAAAAACCGAGGTCCCATGTCAGCGGCAGGCGTTGGCACGATAAAGATCCCTCACTGCTCAATGGCCCTAAGTGCCGAGTAAAGGTCAAAATTTGAAGCCCTTCACCGGCATACTGTGACGTCTCCGTATGAGTGGTCGCCCGCGTGGCGCAGTGGTTAGAGCGTCTGCTTTAGAGTTCGCGAAGTGAGGAGTTAATCTTTACGTAGCGGGTTCGAATCTGTGGGACGTGGAGACCGGTCCTTCGGATGAGACCGTATTAACCGAGGTCCCATGTCGCAGTAGGTGATTGCACGAAAAAGATCCCTCCATGGCCCTGAGTGCCGAGTAAAGGACAAAATTTGCAGCTCTCCATCGGCAAGTGGTGGCGTCTCCATATGAGTGAAAAATTCTCGAGAGGGACGTTAAACAATAAACAATCAATCAATCAATCAATCTCCGTTTGAGTGAAAAATTCTCGAGAGACGTTAAACAATATACAATCAATCAATCAATCAATCAATCTCCGATTGAGTGCAAAATTCTCGAGAGGGACGTTAAACAATATTCAATCAATCAATCAATCTCCGATTGAGTGAAAAATTCTCGAGAGGGACGTTAAACAATATGCAATCAATTAATCTTAGTTTGAGTGAAAAAATTCTCGGAGAGGGACGTTAAACAATATAAAATCAATCAAGCTAATGAAATAGATTTAAAAGTTTGTTATTCAGATGCCTCGAAATGAAATAAAATTTGAAAAAGTGCTGAAGATTTGAAATTAAATTAGTGATATATCAATTTACATTCGTATAAATACTGAAGATTTTGTGAAAACATTTACTCTCTCTCTCTCTCTCTCTCTCTCTCTCTCTCGTCAATGTTCGCTTACTTGACGTTAGGACATGTAGGTTCTGCAAAAAAGCACCTTTCCAAGGGGTTTATTCTGTGACATTGTGGGACTGTAAAAACAATATATAAATGCACCATTTTTTCATATCCATTATTTATAATCTATGCGACAGAAACAAATACCTCCATTTTTTTTTATCTATTATTAGTCAGTTCCCAGCAATACCCATTTACAATTACCAGTTACCCCGGATATTTAGAATAACCAGCATCAAAACAACATATAAAATTGTAAAAGTATTAAATATGTCATTATAACAAATCTTTTAAAAGTTTAACTTGGTCTCAAATGTTTTTGATTGGTTGGGTATCTAGGTAGAGCCTACTTTTATTTAAAAATAATTTGATGCAATTCTTCATACATGTACGATAATGGAGAATTGCACTTTAAATATCATCTTGAATCAGTCAGAAAATTAAGCACCCAATGGTACACCTTTACAACAAATAAATTGATATTTATTGAAAAGAAAATGAAAAGTGAAAGTTATTTAACTCTCCAAATCCCCCCGGTCCATATTTTCAAAGAATATCATCTTAATTGTGGACATTGATTATCTATATTTTGAAATACATTTTACGATTTACAAACATATTAGTTAGTAGCTCTGTGAATAAAGGTGTGTATAAATCATTTGTTTGATAGTGATGAATTTGAAACTTACATCTGTACAGGTCAGAGAGAAAGAAATGGTTATCAGGGCATCCATCTGTGAAGTTATGACAGCTTGTTTGATCCAAATTTCCACTTTCGTAAATCTCTATACAATTTCCTGTAGGAAGTAATAAATAAATACACGCATTGAATTATTCTTAAATTTAAAATTATATACATTGTACGCACAAGATAAATACCTTTTTCATACAGTCCAGTGGTTGACTTATAACAGAATTCCACTAGACTTGACCTCTGGTGGTTGGGAACACAGACGTACTGACTCCGCCCATTTTCATCCACACCACATCCCAGTCTGGTAGCCGACGTTGTGTACTCTGTCTTGTTACGAGGACAAGAGTCCACAATGTAACCAAAAGATCCAAACGTCTTAGCCATTGCTCTTAAATAACAATAATATGGAAGATTAAAGGAAGGATTTTTATGCGTGTTTCTCATGCGCTAGTATGTTCAGGAAGAATATAAATCATTTCTCGTGAAAATTAGACTTTTTAAAGAAAATTAAGTTAGATAATTTACCAAAACCACTGATAATCGTAAACTTTTATTAACTATTGCCTTAGGATAAAAGAGCGCCTGGCGCTATTACGTGCGCCTCCACCACGATATCACGTGACTTCTATTAATAGCGAAATGTTCCTTAATAAAAAAGCTAACAGAACAACAATACCCCGGAGTTTAATAACTTTTTTAAGTAAATAATATAGTCGGAAAGCATCCATTGCCTAAAAAGTGCTGCTAGAATCCCACTGTCCTGTCAGTAAAGTATTTATTACACATATTCTATCATACCCCTTTCTTTAAACCTCCTTTTTATCTCTCAATCTAATATTTGAAAACTCTTATACGTCACTGCATCCATTATCTGAATTCATGCACTATACACCCGAGTCAACTTAGTACATAATGTCCTACTTAGTATGACATTAGTATTTGTGTTGTATTCTGATACGTAAGAAAGCAGACTGTATTTTTTCAGTCCTCTTCATTTAAAGAGAACGAAAAGTAATTTAAGAAGTCAATGTAATTTAACACGGCTTCATTTTATTATTTAGCTTTAAAATCTGTTCATCAGACAAGGCAATAACTTTGAGGTCTTCTGAGAACAATACTCGTATGCTGCTTTTTTTACTCCCTACACTGAGAAAAGGAAGAAGGGCTTATCAAATGCTGTAACCTTGTAAAAATATATTTCTAGAAGATTCTATTATGAATAATTACCCCTCCATTTTATAATAGTACATTTATTTGTAGCGAAAAGAAAATGAAATAAAAATACTAAATGCAATTGGACAATTTAGAATATATGAAGAAAAAGATCCTGTCGAAAATAGTATTTAAAAAAATGATAGAATTGATATGGAATAAAACTAGATAAAAATGATCATTGTGTCTATTTTAATGGGAAGGGAGGGGATACATGTAACTCACAATTATCGAATTCATGAATATAAACAAATAGAAAAATGTGACGAGGGCAGACAGACAACTAAAGAAATATTAATGGTATTGGTTCAGGTGCCTAGGAGAATTAAGCATTCCCTGCTTTCCGATCACTCCCGTCGTGGACCTAATTATGTGATATTCATCAGGTGGCCGAAATATTTTGTAAGTAAACTCGGTAAAAAATAGGGTTATAATGCCATTTATATCAAACAAATAAGAAAAAATAAGGTGCAGTGATAGGTTAATTTTGCATACATGGTTATTCAAATGACCATATAGAATCTATCTAGTTTTGAATAAATTAATCTAATAAATCCAAATAATCTTAAACTCGTTACTATTTTTGATTGATTAGCAATTCCAATGTTAACAGATAATTAAAAAGAGATAGATAATTATATATAGATCACAACGAAAATGTTATGTTCAATCCCTGTGATGCATATCTTATCTCTGACATTATGACGTAAATGGGTCAATATAAAAAAAACAGCTAAACGTGTCATTTCTTTGTAAAATCCTATTTCTTCTTTTCTCCAAATTTTGGATTGTTGCTTTACAGTTTATGACATCTATACTTTCTATTTACTAATAGAATTTTTACATAATTAATTTCATTAAAGTCAATGGATGAATTTTATTACACAAATCAGCCAAATTCATGCTGTCAATAGGATTTTTCTCTTCAAATAAAGATAAATACGCCAAAAATTATATTTAATTTTGTCTGAAAAATCGTATGCATAAAATATACGTTTATTAGAATATATCTTTGAATAAAAAAAAATATGAGCCCCATCTTCCATTTGACTGATACATCATTAAATATGACTGTACAAGAAAGTTGTGTCATTTGTGTTACTATTTTTGTTTTTGCTACAAAAGAGTTATCATTCCTGATAAGAGAATATAAACAGTCCTATTAGTCATATTAAATCATTTCTAACCAAAAAACAACAGAAACTTTTCCTTGATATTCATGATCAGAACATATTGATGGACTTCAGAAGTAAAGAAGGTAGACTTGTACAAACCTTTTTTTGTCAGTGGTGTTTCCATCGTTATTTCAACACGATTTTAGAAATTCATTGAACTCTTTTACGAAAGATGTTCTTTAGGTGAACTTATAGCAATGTGGACAAAACTTTTACTTTATCCAGGGTAAATTAGAGAAACCAGATCATTTTATGACTAATACGTCATTGGTGTTACTGTCATCGGCATAACTTCCTAACCAATGACAGGAATGGCTACACCACTGACAAAACAGGTACTTTATGAGGCAAAATATTTTCTTCTTATATAGAAAAACTATTCATTTGTATTCTACTTTGCAAACCTAGTTTATGGTGTTTGAAAGTAATTAGATTTATTTTCCAATATTTTTTTTTTCACTTACAGACGTGTTAAATATATGGTAATGCCAATGACAACTTCAGATCATATACATGTAACACCAATGACAAACATTTTTTATGCTCATAAATTATATTTTCCCTTCCGAAAAAATCACAGGCCATGCATGAATGTTAGAGTTTATCACCTATGAAAAGTAAATTTAGTCAAGTTTAACTTAGTCTGTTTAAATATCTCTACGAATAGTTAACTTTTATGGTAACACCAATAACTAGATGCTGTCATGAGACAGTAATACCCGCACTATGGTGTTTGCCTCTAAATATACACTCATTCATATTGGACTTTCCAAGGAAGAAGTCAAAATAATTCTATAATTATCACCGTACATGTATTCGTCAAATTGAACATAAAATTTTCAGATGACCATATCAACTCTGAGCCTCACATATGTATTTTAAAATACTTAATTCATAACCAGTCTGAAATAACAGAATTTAATTAATGATTGAAGTAAATTACTTAATTAGATTCAAATAAATAATTTTCCTATAATTTGGAACTTTTTAAATTTACTTTCTCAACGACATAAAATATTATTTTAGTACAAAGCGTTTTTGATGAATTTATCAAAATGTGCAAACTGATTTTAGTATTTGGTCGGGAAAAAAACCCATTGAAAATACAACCCGATTAATTTGTCAATGCCTATCTCCCCCCCCCCCCCACACACACACACACTCTCTCTCTCTCTCACTCTCACATTTTTTAAAAAACAAAGGTTAGTTTATTATGATAGTTTGAAATTAGTTCTTGTACTAAACAGTTTTATTTTCTACATTCACGTTGGGTTTGCGTCACCCATTATCATATTTATAGATATCACCTCTCGGCACACCTCGGCCAATTCATACTGGCAACTGAATCAGCAAAGGTTTGTCGAATGAGATTATTTAGCACATGTATGCTGACGATGCAGTGTGGTCAGTTAAAATCATTTGTGTTTTAATTGGATTATATGGATTATATTTCATGAATTCGTTGTCACGACCTATGACATTCGGTAAGTACAAGATTTAGTATAGATTGCATAAAAATAGATAAATGCAAATGGTTAGGTTGAAGTTCAAAAAGGGTCAACATGGTCAAAGATCATCGCATGCCACAGTCGACAAATTTCACATTGTCAAGTTATCTCCCGTTGCGGACATTCAGTATATAACAGACGCAGATCCAGAATTTTTTTTTTTTCAGAAAGGGGGGGGGGGGGTGGGTCACACCTCAGTCAAAAAAATCAGCCCAAGATTTCCTGAGATGGAAATAAAAAAAATAATAAAAACAATGATGGTGGAGTCCCTATTTTCTAAGGGGGAGGATGTCCAAAGTCATTTTTATTCTCTACACTACATATATAGTCTTATTTAAATAACTGCTAATTCCAGGAGGGGGGGGGGTCTGATCTCCCTAGCCACTGACTCCCTGTACCTGAAATGACAATTGATCTTATGACTCCATAATAGTAGAAAATTTTTTCAATTGACTATTTATACATATTTTGTTTCCTATGTTTATGTATTTTTGTCTGTCCACGGAAACTTTAACCTTGCCCATATTTTTTATGTGGATTGGGCTATACACATGGCTTCAATATTTCATAGGTAAATTTCTTTTGGCAAAACCTTTTAATGGGTACCACCAATTTTGACCTCTTGATCTCTTGACCTTGGAGTTTGACCCAATTTTACAAGAAAAATACCTTGAACTTGGCGTAAGTTTTGAATAGGAGGTGCTAGGACTTTCATGCTCTTACATGTGTAATCATTGTGAACTTTCAACAGGTTTTATTGTTTCTGACCTAAACCTTAGAGTTGAATCCAATTTAACTTTAACCTTGGCAATAACTTTTGAACAGGTGAGGAAGATCTAGGGATTTCTCCCTTTTTTCACATGTGTATTCCTTGTGACATGACTTTCCCTTTGATACCAACAATTTAGACCCTTTGACCTTGACCTTGGAGTTTGACTTACATTTGAGAAACTTCAACCTTTGCCAAAAGCTGCCATAACAGTTGCTGTCACAACAAACAAACAAATTACTAAAAAAAAAACACAGAATACATGTACATATTTTATATTCAACAGATATACATCTGGTCATATCTCTAGTTCTCCCTTGAATGAGACATGGTGATATAAATTTTAAAAAATGATTATAAGAGTTGAAAAGGTTGTGCATATTGAAATATACTAAGCTCTGCGGATGAATTAGATATACTAGTTTAGCTTTATTTTGCTACCCAAAGCACCTTGATGAACTATTTATAAGCATACTGTTTTCTGAAATGTACTGATTTCTGTTGTCCATCTGTTTATCTGCAAACTTTTCACATTAACTTCTTAAGAACCACTGGGCTAATTTCAACCAATTTACATTTAAATATGCAGGGTACTTTTTAAGCGCCCGGATCGATAGATCCCGGGCGTATATTGTTTTTGTCCTGTCTGTTTGTCTGTTTGTCTGTTTATCTGTTTGTCTGTTTGTCAACTTTAACCTTGGCCATAACTTTTGAACAATA